TTCAAGATAAAACAATAAGTAAATTACCTTGATAGCTATTAAACTTTCAGAATAATGGAATTTTTTGGCTACTTAACTTTAAAAGTATGTTTTTTTCCTTTGAACTATCAAAAGTGTAAATTTTGAGTCATTTTATCTAATTTTTCCATTAACTCTGTCAGATTAACTATTAATAATATATCTCATGAATCGTGCCGAACCTTATATCTGGCAAAGTTAACGGTGAAGTTGCACAAAATGACCCAAACACCATTTTGAACCACTATTCAACCTAGCTAAGTGTTTCGATGAACTAAGTCTAATTCTTTAAGGAAGGAATTCGATCTTATATATAGCAATTGACTGAAATTGACGTCATATCCACCATTGACCGATTGTGTCTCTGCGATTTGGGGATTTGGTATGTGCATGGATTCCCGATGAGAGTTTTCAAGTGGTCACCAGCGTTCCATGTTGGTCGAGAACCATCTGTGGTACCTGTGTGGTTCCAGCTACCTAAGTTTCCATTGCATTTATTCCATAAAAAGGCCTTGTTTCAGATTGTAAACGTATTGGGAACTCCTTTGTTGGTTGACACCGCAACCTTGGCAGTTTTGAGGTCTACTGTTGTAAGGGTCTGCGTTGAACTAGACCTATTTCAATTTTCGACCAACTAGAGTTTGGATTGGGAATGGTATGCACAAAGGATTTTGGCAAGAGTTGGTGCCAGAAAACTTGCCTAATTATTGTGCACATTGTTATCGACAGGGGCACACAGAAGACAAATGCTACGATTTGCGTCCGAACTTGAGGCCAGCAAAGCTGCATATGGGAGAAACGGGGGAGGCTGGGTTTCATCCTAAAGTGGAGTTCAGATGTAAATTAGGAGATACAAGTATGTCACTTACGACTCAAAGGAAAAATGACTCGTTGGAAAGAGTAGCAGATGGAGAGTCTTTGCCATCTGCTACTGACATGGCTTCGAGGAGTAACCGGCAGTTGGATGGAGAGATTACTGAGAATAACACGAACTAGGTTTTGGTTGTTCAGCTTCCTTGGCTTGAGTCGACAGAGGCAAAAGAGGCAGTAGTCGCTACACAAACTATACCTTTGGCGGAGTCCGATCTGCTGCCGATGGGTGGAAACGATACTCTTCAACCAAATAATAAGAATGGCAGTCAGCCATACGAATTTCGTCGTCAGTAGAGGGGGTTAAAGATGTATCACAGACTAATGTTAGAAGGGAACCAGCGGATCAATGTGCAGCAGGGAAAATGAATAGTCTTGCTGCTGTGGCATCAGAGGACGAAGAGCTTAAAGAGTTGCAGGGGCGGATGGGCAATTTGTCTCCAATAGGAGAATCTAATAAAGTAAGGATGAGTGGTGATAGTTTGTCTTTTGCTGCATTCAATCTTAACCCTATTTTCATATCGAACTCCATGTTGCAACAAGCTAGATCGCTTGCATAATCTCAACCAAAGAAAAGAGGTACTCGGCTGCCTTTTCCGTCAGACCGCACGTTACGCTCTAAAGTGATTTCTTCACAAAATTCTTTTGCAATGTTATCTAATGATTAACTTTCTCTTTTGGAACATTCGGGGTGTCTCACGTGCCTTTAATCTTAAGAGACTCAGTAAATTAGCCAAAATACACTCTATCTCTTTGGTAGCGATTTGTGAACCTAAGACCTCGATTACAAACATGAATATCATTCGGATGAAGCTGGGGATAGATTTTTCTGTTGCAAATCTGTGGGGTAGCGTTTGGGTGCTTTATAAATCTTTCTTTCATTGCCAAACAATAGGTGAGTCGGATCAACATCTCACTTTAAGCCTCCGATCCCAATTATTGACTGAAGAGATCTACTTTTCATTTATTCATTCCAAGTCCACCGTCCAGGAGAGGGAAGGTTTATGGCTCAAGTTGTTGAGTGACAAGCCGGGGGTAAAACCATGATTTCTTGTGAGGGATTTTAATGTTATTTTAAATGCAGAGGAAAAACGGAGTGGCCTACCTTTTAGACATTCTCAGGGGATAGAATTATCACAATTTATGTCATTGGCAGAAGTTGGGGATACTGGGTTTTCTGGGTCTAGGTACACATGGTGTAACAATCGGCAGGGTATTTTAAGAGTTTGGAAGCAGCTTGACAGGCTTTTGCTCAACTCAGCTGCTATGCGTATGAAGAGTAATATTTTAGTGCGGCACTTGGGGAGAGACCCTTCTGATCATGCTCCTCTTTTGATATCGGCATCAACGAGATTAGATAACAAGCCACGACCATTCAGATTCCTGAATATTTGGACCACAAAATCAGGTTTTATGGATGTGATTAAATAGAGTTGGTCTATTTCCTCCCCTGGTTCCCCCCCTCCAGGTTTTGTCGGCTAAACTGTGACGGGTTAAACAGGCTCTTAGACTATGGTCGAGGGAATCTGTTGGTGATATCTTCTTGGCGATTCGGACAGCAGAACAGAGGATGCTGGAAGCTGAAATAGATCATGATAATCATCCTTCCAAAAGGTCATTGGTGGGTGTACAAGAGTCACGTGCAAGATTGAAACATACTTTGGTGATTGAGGAAGACTTCTGGAGGTAGAAGGCTCGTGTCAAATGGCTATCAGATAGGGACAAGAATACAAAATTTTTCCACGCTGTGGTGACAGAGAAGAGAAGCAAGTCAGTGATTCATAGAATCAGGAAGACAAATGGTGACTGGGTGACCGACGAGTCGAGTATTTGTAATGAGGCTATCTCGTTCTTCCAAGAATTGTTTACAAACGAGGAGGGACAGTTCTCGAATAACGTGCTAGACATTATTCCAAAGTTGATCACTGAGTAGGATAATGAGATGTTGACTGAGATTCCATCCATGTAAGAAGTAAAGGAAGTAATTTTTTTAATGGACGGGGAGAGTGTTGCGGGTCCAAATGATTTCACGGGAAAGTTTTTCTCGTCTGCTTGGGAGGTGGCAGTTAAGGATGTTCAAAAAGCTATTGTAAGTTTCTTTTGTGGCACAATATTGCCAAGAAGTGTCTCAGCTATTTCAATTGTTTTACTACCCAAGATACATTGCTCTTAAAATTTCACTCAATATCGCCCGATAAGTTTATGCAATTTTATCAATAAGGTCATCTCCAAGATTTTATCTTTTCGCTTAGCAAAGGTTCTTCCTCACATTGTCTCACCGCAGCAGAGTAGTTTTGTGCAAGGGAGACAGATGGCGGATAATTTTCTATTAGCGCAAGAATTATTGAATGATATTTAAAGCCTAATAGGGGAGGGAATGTGATGCTCAAACTGGATATGATGAAGGCATATGATAGGGTGTTTTAGTTGTTTTTGATACAAGTGCTTCGTTGGTTTGGGTTTAGCGAAGTTTGGATCGATATGGTATGGAGATTGATATCGAATGTTTGGTTTTCGGTAGGGGTGGCAATCAGGTCTAAATCAGGTTAACGGGCCGGGTCCTGACCCGACCCGTCAAAAAAATTATTAACCCGAACCGACCCGTGACCCGTGACGGGTCAGGTATGCTGACCTGAACCCGACAATTTCAGGTTGGCGAGTCAAGCGGGTTGACCCGAAACGACCTGAAATTTACTTCCCATTTACTGACAGATTAGCCGGCTGTGATTTTTAATAGAATCAATTCCAAACTAAATTAAGACATCACAAGAGTAAAAATAATGTAATATATCATCTATCCAAATTTAACAGCTCCAACTTCACACAAATCAAACAAATTCAACTAAAACAATCAAAACAAAGGCTGCCAACCAAAATTACAAGTTGAGTCAATATAATACAATTCACATGATAAATCATTAAATCATGACAAAAGTAGTGTTTCAAGGCCAACCAATGTTCTGCCCTCATCATCAGCAACAAGCCAACAACAACATTCATAATTTGCATCCTCCAAGAAACATTCATAGCATGAGGGTAGAACACAAGTCAAATTTAATAGCTTCAACTTCACACAAGTCAAACAAATTCAACTAGAACAATCTAAACAAAAGGCTGCCAACCAAAGTTACAAGTTTAGAGTCAATATATTACAATTTCACATAATATTAAATCATGACAAAAGTGGTGTTCCAAGGCCAACCAATGTCCTGCCCTCATCTTCAGCAACAACAACATTCATAATTTGTGCCTTCCAAGAAACATTCATAGCAACCACTCCAGCTAGGAGGATCATGATCAACACCAAAAAGAAAGAAATAGTTACTTGGATATTAAACCACGTATTAAATCTTACGAAATATTTTTAATCAAATTTAAAAATTAACTTACCATGCATCAAGTATCATGGATTAGAGATTAACAACATTAGAATTTGAATCCTCAATTATTGTTGCATCAATCTCATCCTTGTTGATATTGAGAGACATGATATTTTGAGTTAAATCCTCCAAATTCATATTTAGAGATCCTACATTATAAGAATGAAAAAAAATATATGAGTAACAATATTAGAACAGTAAAATATGTAAAAAAAATATGTATTTACCTTCACTTTTATCTCCAAACAACCAGTCCTTAGTGCAAACTAAAGTCTCAACAATTTGGGGTGAAAGTGAACTACGAAATTGATCCAAAATTCTACCACCAAGGCTAAATGCAGATTCAAAAGCAACGGTCGATACTGGAACACATAGAATGTCCCTTGCCAATTTACTCAAATCTGGAAATCGAAATTGTTGAGCTTTCCAATATCAAGAACAATAATATGTGAGGATCATTTAGCTCTTGGCTCATCTAAATATAATTCCAATTGGCTTTTTTGTGCACTAGAGACAAATTCAAAAGTGTCAAATTGATCAAATTCCTACATAAGTTACAAACAAAGATATATTAGATACGATAATAAAACAAAATAATTAAAAATCATCATCACAATAATAATTTTAGAACGCAATAAAGTTACAAAATTTTAATTTTCATACCTCTAAAATATCAAATGATTGGTTGTCTTCTTGGTCCTTGGATCCATGAGAATATACTTCATTGCTGCCTCAAGAGCATGAAGACGATGCACCGGGTATGTTGAAAGTCTTCACGTACTCATTATAGACATCAAAAAGTGCATTTCTGATCTTGACTAATTCATTAGACCCTGGGCCATACAACTTATTATAACTAAATTCAATAAATTGAAATTTATACCAAGGATCAAATACCACAGCAATTGCCAACAAGAGATTGAACTCGGACCAATATTTATTAAACTTCACAAACATTTGGGAACCAATCCTCCTCATAAAATCATTTAAACTATTGCACTCCTCAGACAGCTCCAATTGAATTTTAAAAACTTGAGGAAAGTACAAGTTACTAGTCGGATACTTGGACCCTGAAAAAGCATTAGTTGCCTCGTAGAAAACTTGAAGAAAACCACAAATTTTTTCAACTCTTTCCCATTCTTCAAGAGATGGACAGCATCGAAAATTTGAATCACTTAGTTGTAAGTGACCAAATGCAAGGCGATAATAAAGTGCACTGGACAGCATCCTATATGTGGAGTTCCACCTAATAGGAACATCTTGAACTAAAGCTTTCTTGGAATCAAGAGAAGTCTGTGTTATACATTCGGTGAACCTTAACTTCCTTGTTTGAGAACCCTTGACGTATTTGACACATTCTCTTATTAACTCCACAGATTTATCAATTTCTTTCAAACCATCTTGCACAATCAAGTTGAGAATATGTGCACAACAGCGGACATGAAACAACATACCATCACAAACCAAAGAATTTTTCAACTTAAGCTGATTCTTAAGTATTGCAACACAAGAATCATTTGCAGAAGCATTGTCTAATGTGATGGAAAATAATTTCTTTTCAATACCCCAACTACTAGCCAAGCTGTAAATTTTTTCAGCAAAGGCAACACCATTATGAGGAGGAGGCATATAAGAAAAATTCAGAATTTTTTTCTGAAGCAGCCAATTGCTATCAATGAAATGTGCAGTCAAACTTAAATATCCATCAGTAACAATAGATGTCCATGCATCAAAAGTTAAACATATTCGACTAGGACATCCACGCAATTCACTACCAAGTCTATTAATTTCTCTTGCATGCGATTTTCTAATATCCGACTTGGCTGTGTTCCTAGTGATATGTTTAATTTGGGGTTCCAAATATGTAAGAACATTTTTTATCCCCTCATACTCCACGAATGAAAATGGCAGTTCATGTCTTACTATAGCATGCACAAGTAATTCTCTAAATTTATCTTGACTGAATTGTGCATTTCCTGTGCCTAAAGCACCTTTGTCAGAAGTGATTAGGTACTGCCCAATGTCTTTTGTTGTCATTTTCAAACACTTCTTTATATATCGATGCAAATTACCTGTCCCACTTTTACTCTCAGCAGAATATTCATTCCCACATTTCTTGCATTTGCACTTTAACTCTTCATTTGGATCCTTTTTGGGAATAAAGTTGAAGTAATCCCAAACTTCTGAAGTTAATCTCCTCTTCTTGCCAGGCACATCAATAATAGCTTTTGGAGGTAATTTCATTTTTTCAATTGCACTATTCTCCGGGCATTGAGGTTGCTGGTTGGTGTGGCCTGTTTCCTTGATGCTATCACTACTGCTCCTGGTATCACTATTTTCTTCAATAGTGACTGAATTTGGATATGTCATACTTATATCCACCTGTTAATCATCAAGATGAACAAACTGATTAAAAGCTGTTAATCATGCCAAGTAGGTCTGGTCTGCTCATTTGGTCATCTATATATTTGCAGCCACCATGCCATAACCATGCCCGCACAAAATAATTATAAAATTCCAGTAGGAGCTTCAAAAAGTATCTATTTACAGAAAACCTAATCTAATTATTTTCTTGAGAATCTAAAATAAACAAATTTATTTAAGAGTTTCAAAAAAATTGAAGGAATAAAAAACAAATAATCTTTTCAACATTAATAACATGTATACTAGCAAGATTAGAGACATTTTAAGAGCAAAATTATTTCTTTTTTTTAAGAGCCAAATAATTTTGTCTTGTATATGGAATATATACTACCAAAAAAATAGTTAAATGTCTTCAACCATATGCTTAAGTTGCACAGTTTTCTATCATTTTTCTTTCTTTCCCACCCAAGAAAGAAAGCTAGAGTCCTTCCTCCTGAAACAATGGAAGTCTCGAGCTTCAAGTTATTACCTTTATTAGGATTGCTAGGTTATGTCATCTACTGGTTTTATGGGATGGTCGAAGTCTATTGGTTGAAGCCAAAGAGGCTTGAGAAAATTCTCAGGGAACAAGGCTTCAAAGGGAATCCCTATAGGCTATTGTGAGGAGACCAGCATGAAAATGATAAATTACTCAAGGAAACTTTGTACAAGCCTATTCAGCTTGGAGATAATATCATAAAACACATGATGCCTGATGTCTACAAAACTCTCCAAACCCATGGTATTTTTTTTTCTTTTTCTCCCCTAGTGTGTGTGTATGTGAAAATTGACGCATATTAATGGTCTGGAAATATATATGTTTGCAGGAAAAAATTCTTTCATGTGGATTGGACGATATCCGAGGGAGACTCTGACAGATCCAACACTAGTAAAGGAAGTCTTGACTAAATATGTAACATTTAAGAAGAGTTATCATGATCTTGATCCTCTCATCGAAATTAATAAGATAAATTAAATAATCAAACGAAGCAAGGGAGAATCGGACCAACCTGATGAGGGGTTCTGAGGAACACTCGAAGGGACGCTTGGTTTTGCCTTTGCGCTTAGACTTTTTGGAGGAGAAAAGCTGCGTTTAGAATTTTTGAGGAGAATAGCTGAAAAGGGGAAGAAAGATTTAGGGCCAGCGTGATTTTTGCTTCTGCCTGCGTAGTGATAAGTGATATTTGCCTATTTGGTATATTATATTTAGTTATTTACTATTAAGTTTTTTGTTTTTATATACTTTTTTAATATTTATTTATTTATTTTTATTTTAAAATCAGGTTAGTGGGTCAACCCGTGTTAACCCGATTTTGACCTGTTTTGTTTTCGGGTTTGACGGGTTTGACCCGATTCTGACCCGATTTCTCAAAATCTAAACCCAAACCCATTAATTTCGTGTTAGGTTCGTGTCGGATTTTCAAGTCGTGTCGAAAATTGCCACCCCTAGTTTTCAGTCATTGTCAATGGCTTTTCCCACGGTTTCTTTAAGTCCACACGGGGTTCGAGACAAGGTGACCCAATTTCGCCAGTCTTGTTCGTTATTGGTGCAGAGGTCTTTTCCCGTTCACTCAATGCGCTGGCAAAGCATCGAAGATTCAGACCATTCAAAGTCCCTAGAGGCTGTTCTATGATCACACATTTAGCCTATGCAGATGACGTGGTCATTGTCACTAGCGGCCTTAAGACTTCAATAACATTGGTTAAAGGAGTAATGAGTGGATACTGTGCAATTTCCGGGCAGCGTGTTAATTGTTAGAAGAGTTGTTATTTGGTGCATCCCACCTTGTCTTTGCAGCGACGTGCGATGATTGGAATGGTAACTGGTTTCTCGTACAAATATGTCCAATCAAATACCTTGGCTGCACCCTTTATATTGGAAGAAGGCGGATGCATTATTTTGCCGAACTCTACGACGTCGTAACATCCAGAATCTTATCATGGAAAATCAAGTCCTCTCATTTGGGGGCAAGATTGTGCTGTTAAAGAGTGTTCTGTTTTCAATGCCAATCCACCTATTAGCAGCAGCATCTCCTCCGAAGGGAGTCATTGTTTCCGTAGAAAGGGTGATGGCAAATTTTTTGTGGAGCTCCACAGATATGGGCCATAAATTTCATTGGTTAAGTTGGGAGGAGTTGTGCCATCCACAGCAGGAGGGTGGAATTGGAGTTCGTAGCTTGGCGAAGGTATATGATGTTTTTTCTATTAAGCTTTGGTGGAATTTTCGACAAAGAAGATCTCTGTGGGCTGAATGTTTAACAACCAAATATAGTAGAGGGGTGCACCGTTGTTTGGCAGAAGAGTGTTAATCGCTTTCTTACACTTGGAAGAGGTTATGTTCGATTCAACAGTTGGCAGAAGAGCATATTTGCTAGGTCATCGGTGAGAGGTTGATGGATTTCTGGCATGACAATTGGATGAGAACTGGGGCTATATGTCATCAGGTGGATATTTTTCATGAGCATGTTATATCAAATTTTGTCTCCCAAGCACAATAGAATATGCGACTCCTTAATCAAGTTCTTGAACCTGAGTTGGTTAAGCAAGTTGTGAAGGTCCCCCTTTCATCCGCTCATAGCTCTGATAGGATGGTGTGGGCTTTAATACAGAGTGGTTCATTCTCGATTTTTTCGGCTTACACGCTTGTTGCGTAGGCTTCTAATTGTTCTTGGGTGGTTTCGCATGTGTGGCTAAAGGGGTTTCCTATCAAAATTTCCTCTTTATGTTACGGTTGCTATGATTGCATCTTTCCTTAATGGATCTGCTGTGTAGATTTGGGGTACAGGGTCCGTCTAAATGTCATTGTTGTTCTGAACCAGCAGATGAGGAGGTTAATCACATATTTTTAACAGGAGATTTAGCTAAGGCGGTCTAGAATAGATTTGAGGGTGTCTTAGGAGATTTGAATATGGTGTCCACGTTGCGACATGTGGTGTTATGGTGGTGGCTGCGTAAGGGGCACAACGTGTATCTCAGGTTTATTTATTATATATTACCTATGCTCGTCTGCTGGGAGTTATGGAAAGCGAGAAACAGGGGTCTGTATGATGGAAGGAAGGTGGGGTGGACGGAGGTGGCAGATCAGGTATTTCAACAGTTATATGATTTACTACATTGTAATTTTCCGGAGATAGCATGTTCTTTCGTCTCTTGGGATGTTCTTCACTCTTCGTTGGTAGCTCTGAAAAGAAAGGTTTCTATTTTACCGATTTCATGGTTGGCTCCTACAGCAGGGTATAAGTTGAATTCGGATGGCTGTGCAAGGGGAACCCGGAAGTTAGTGGGGGTGGGGGAGTTGTGCGAGATGGGGAAGAGAGATTTATCATCGATTATTCCTGATTTTTGGGTCATTGACCAATTTACAAGCGGAGCTCAAGGCCATAGGACCCTGTGTTGCTCGAGGCTTACAAGAGTTGCATGTTGAATCTGATTCACTTGTCTTGGTGCAAATACTCCAAGGGACACATGGTTGCCCTTGGAGACTGCAACGGGAGATGGATGAATTGTTTAGTTTCAAGCATCATTTCCGTGAGATAACCCATTGCTATAGAGAGGCGAACAAACCCGCTGATTATCTAGCTAACCTTGGTGCAAATTCGGATCAAGAGGATGTTTTTGACGACTTTCGTTCTTTGCCAGGCTATTATCCGTGGGGAGATTATCATGGACACTTTAGGCTTCTCTAATTTTCATAGAAAATTACTATAGCTTAGTTTAAAATTTGTATTAAATAACTGTTATGTGGATATTTTCATGAGATTGGGTTTGTTGGCAGGGAGTTTCATCCATTTATAAAGGAAAACTCTGCCAAAATTTTTAATAAAAATAAAATTACATTAAAAAAAAGATGTTTAAAAAACATACAGCTTGGGCAAGTGTAAAACGGTTCAAAGAGATAACTTCAAGTGTAAAAAAAGAAACAGGTTCAGCTTGGGCAAGTGTAAAACGGTCGAATGAGATAACTTCAATCCTTAGTCTACTATCTAAGCATAATTTTTTAAGCAAGGAGAGAGAAGAGATATCTAGTACATTGCTTACTAAAATTTCTTCAGTTTTGAAACTTTTCCTATACTTGTCACATTGGCTTAATTGTTTTAGTCCCCCCATTTTCGCATGAATAGTTATTTACGTATTAGAGACATTAACATTTCAAGAACCAAATGTTTTTTAAAATCGACCTTTTGAATAACAAAACATTTATCAATACATTCCTTACATTTATCAAGATTTGCAAAAAAAAAAAAAAATTTCAAATTTTGTTCTGCTTACATTATAAACATAATATCAATCACCTTTTTTTATCTTATATACATCACATCACAAAAAATATTATAGTATTTTTTAGATAATTCTTTCCAAATAATCTCCTATCCAAATGGACTCATTTTTACGTCAGCAAGCTTTGTGTTTGAAATCTCCAAAATATCCTTTTGCAAATTAAATCAACTAAATTTATCTCCCATAAAGTTTGTCCAAATTACATTTATCTCTCTCTGAAGGTTGTCAAGATGACAAAATGAACCTTATACTTTGTCCAAATCAAGCCAGTGCTATAAGTAATGAAACATTTATCAAATAAATATTTTTACTAGCAAACTAATTTAATTGCAACAAATTTTAAATGAAATTCTCATTGAACTTAGTAGTTACTAATTCTTTAGTTTGACCACTATTTCGGCTCTTTGTAGGTTGCAATTAATATAATTAATACTCTAGTTAAATGATATAATAATATTTTGGGTCATTGGTGCAGTTCTTTCAGCCACCATTGCTATGTACTTGCTGTTAAAAACCCTTTTCGTGTCAATATGCAAATAATCAAATTGCATTTCTTAAATAAAATGAATTGCCACCTTTAAATCCACTTCCAGGCGTTGAATTTTAATGTTTTGTATGAAGAGATCCACCTGGAATCAAAATTCAAAATCCAAGAAAGACATTTATCCAGAAATAAGAAAACAAATTAA